TCTATCAGTTTAGTTAGCGGGCGTACTACATACTAGACCACACTGTCCAGTTGTGATAACATTTAACAAAATCTTGGCGATACCGGGTCTGGAAAAACGTCTTACAACAATAAGGATAAGCTATGGATGGGGGAGGGGAATGTGTGTAAAAAAAGAGTGCCTTTATTTGTGGACGATGAAAGGCATAATCAATTCCGTACCACGTTTAGAAAAGCAAAAGGTACCCCAGTACTACATAGCTAACTTATCAACCATACTTTACATACTTTCAACTTCATTTTAGATGTAGTATTCGAAAAAAATCAATCACACTAACTTAACAAAAGCAACTCAATTAGCACCCGACTCAAAGGTCTTTAACTCAGAAAGTCTCCCTCCCCCATCCTCATACAATCGTTATTTGAGTGTGAGTGGGTATCAAACAAATAAATATAGGCCTTTGTTGTTTACAAGGGTATATTTTATTCTTTAGCAAGATAAACTAATGGGATATGAAATAAATGAAGACTATCAGTGTACACATTCAGCTTTTTACAATAGAATGAACACACTCGTAAAATGTTGTGTTTTAACTAATATTTCTTATATTAATAAGATTTTGGATCCCGCACAGGCTACTTGGTGAATAACCACTATTCAATTAATAATTTCGACCTTTGGCTTATAATGTTTAAGACAGCTTAGATACATCTTTATTTTACATTTTAAATAGACCTAATGGCCTAATAATATAAAACAAATATAACGGAATACGAAAGCGGAGAAAGGTAGAATCGATATCGCTAATACTTAAGCCTACGGTATCTATTTTGTTAGTCGGGTTTTACAGCTTGTGATCGTCTGAAGAAGAAAGTAAAAACATTTGTGAAAATAACAGTAAAAATGTACCGACTCACACTAAATTCAAGTTAAGTCTGAATGTTTTCTTATTTTAATTGGTCAAAATACCAACGGATATATCGACAAATTTTTAGCGATACCGTTTTTCTCGATTTTTAGATTTAAGCCTCTACTATAATGCATTACGAAACAGATGATTTTCGGAGTTAAAAAATTAAATTAAAAATCGTATAGTCTTACTCTAATCGAACCTAGTGTCATTTTTTTTAGTTTTAAATCATTATATGTATAAATTAATTTCAACTTTGTGTTGAGTTATCGTATACCTAATTCAATCATTAGTATCACGTAGTACATGCCGCAACATATTAGCTCAATTCACACAATTTTTACTATTTTAAAAAGGTTAATTTATTATCTTTGAATCCTCTCATTTACTAGTTTAATTATTAAAATTCTTTAAGAAAAAAAATGTATAAAAATTGGTGACATAATTCTTATAAAACGAAAGAAACATGACAATGCGGTATCGATACCGCTAATAGGGTACCTAGTTTGTGGGACATATTGCATAGTCTGCTAAACGGATAAACCTAAAATAAGTATGCTTGTTAGAAAGCTTAATAAAAAATGAAGATAATCCTACTAAAAACAGAGCTAGTCTCAATGTGCGACTATTTTATGTAAATTTTTGAAAACTCACCTTTTAAACTCAATATGAGATTAACAAAAACAAGTAAAAAGTTGAAATAAAAATTATACAGCGGTAACGGCCAATAACCGCTGCTAATAAGGAGAGCATATATGATTGGAATCATAATCACGTTCTATCGTTTTTTAAACGGTTAACAGAGCAATGTGAACGACTACATTTGAATTAGATTTTATTGTGCACGAAAGGTTTAAAGCCTGTGACGTCATATTTTGTTTACTTGTGCAACTAGCTAGGCCTACTTCATAAGAACCATACTCCCTTAGAAAAAATTCATAAAAAACGTTTTAATAACAAGCTTTTATGTAATAATGCACTAAAAAGTAGAAAATAAAGTATACACTACTATTTAAATAACTATAGAGAAAAGCGTGGGTCACTTAAGTACCTACTGAATACCTTTACTAATAATGCTTGCCACTGCCCAAATGCCGACTTTTTCGTTAAATGGGGAATGTTATTTTTATTCAGAATGCATTTCCCTATTCTTCAGTAATCATTAATTTGACATGAGTGATGTAGTTTTTTAGCGCAATTTCCATTCTGGAGAATTGCGTTTATTAACTCGTCTTTTCTGGGAATGGATGGATGGATGTGTGTCCGCAGCTTTAAGTCGTATCTCCTCCTCAACGAAGCAACATCGAGGACTAGTTCCAAAAGCAATTATGTTAAGCAAGTTACGAGGATGAACATAGACCATAAACATTCCGGGTTTCTTTCATGGATTTCCCGGAAAAGCCAAAAAACCTCGAAAAAATGCAGTTTTTGGCCCATATCTCGGCAACCAGACCACTTAGCGACTTGAAACATTTACCAATCGATTCCTGCCATAATTTAGAACAATATTGCCGAAGAAAGTTTTCAAAAATATCCTTTCGTTCGGTCACACAAAATTTTTTGAATTAATTAAAATTTGGACCGAATTAGTAGGCATTTTATGCAACCACACCACACGCGTCATCACGTTCAATAGCTGCGCCATCACTTTCAATGGCTGCGACATCACGTTCGGTAGCTGGGCGCGCAATGGTTTTTACTCTTTAGTCATGTTACTCTATTGTAAATAAAACATGTAAAATACTGAAAAAAAAATTAATAAAAAACGTTTTAATAACTAACCAATGGTTTTACTAACCCTGCTCTTGATTTACGCTACGACAGAGCTATTTTTAGATAGCACAAGGAAATTGCGCTAAAATTGTCACTAGACTTTTTTTTAATTACTTGTTTTAGTTTATAGCTTCCTACTGTTGCATATGAATTTTTCTTAAAACATCGATATTTTTCCAAAATCTTGTCTAACTCTGTCAACATTGAGTATTTTAATCAATTCCTATTACAATTTATTAAAACAGTTTTCTGAAACGCGAAATAACGGCTAAAACTCGTTTTCTAACATTGGGTTGTTACAATGCAAAAGTGTGACGTCGCACCATCTGAACCCCCCCCCCCCCCCTCCCCCTCATCACACACCGTCACAAAATTACGGACCCCCCCCTTCCCCCATACGAGTGGGACGTCATTTATGGACGACACCTAAGTGCATGTGGTTTTGTATGCTTCTAACTCGTATGCTGTACTGCTGATCTGGATGTATTAATTTAGACATGAAAGGTTCGAGTTTCTTAAGTTTTTGTCAATATAATCACTGTTGAGTAGAGATAGAGATCTGTAATTTATAATTTTTGTCCTGTCCGTATCATGTTTAGGAATATTTTTTTCTGTTAAAAACTGTAGCACAGTCCTCTCTTTCATGTGTGTCTTGAAATGTAACGTGTAAAATGAGAGGTAATTCATTGCCTTTAGTTCTAGCTGCTTCTAAATAAAACGTTCTACGCACGTCCCGCTTTAACCACAACCATCATACGAAATAGTTTTTAATTTTTATACAAACTGTGTACACTGATAGTTTATAATTTTCATACATAAATATTTTCTTTTAAATTATTCGATTATCTGTTTAAAGTTTTGCTTCATTTTGTTTTATTAAAAGTTTCATTTACATGCGTATTGTATAAGTAAATGTTTGAAATATTTTGTGATTTAGTGTTTATTATTTACTCGGATATGCATGCTAGTTTCGTTATTTGTTCAACAAGAGAAAATTTCTAGGTTTATGTAAATTTTAACAATTTTTTGAATAAAAATTTTGATCTTAACACTCACCCTTGTACAAAAGGGTTTCAAAATTTGAGGTATAATTTGATGTAGGTTGAGTTATTATAATTTTGATGTGTTATCTTACTACTACGAATTATTCTCGACAAATAACTAATGTCTACCTGCTTAAAATTACAGCCAGTATTTTAATTTGATTTTTATAAAAAGTTACCATTTTGCAAACTTTTATAAAAAATTTTATTTTGATTATGATTTTAAAAATATGTTACAAAAAACTATGCCCATTAAAAAAATAAAATATGCCATTATTATTTGTGCTAATTATACTCACAAAGTGTTAAATTGCGTCCCTTTACTTTATTTCACACAAGTCTTTGAAGGGGAGATAATTAAATTAACCGCTTCCCGATAAATTTAGAGCAATTGCTTAAGAATGCGTTGGCGTGGCTGCGGACTGCACATGGTTATACAATCTACGGGGTGACAACACCCACACATAATATAGCTAACTTTAATAAGAAATTACACTATTCCAGTTAGTTGAATTATGAATAGCTTAATTGGATAGCTGAATAAAATTATATCACTTGATGAGCGTATATTGTAAACACTCACGAGAAAGGACACTAGTAATATTTATTAAGTAAAAAATGGTCTAAGTCAGTAGAACGTCCACGAGTCGATTCAGCTCTAATGTGTACCTTACTTACGTTGGGGAAAGTAAAGGCGGTTGGGCAAAGTGCTGACCACATTTTCACTTTATATGCCGGGGTTTATAAACATATGAACTCTACTTCATCTGCCCAATGGATCGTTAGGTCTAAAGAGGATTCTTTACTTACGTGTAGGCGCTCATGGTTGCTGCATTAAACGTTACCTACACACACAAAATTTAAACGATTTATGCATAATCGAATTATATTATAAGATGAGAGTGTAAACCATGTGTTTTAAGTGTTTATTTATTTATTTATTTATTTATTTATTTATTTATTTATTTATTTATTTATTTTTTTGTTATTTTTTTTTTTTGTAATACACGTTTAAACTTAAAACAGTAAATAGCCAATATTCAGTAACATTTTTTTAAACAGAGATAAAAGTGAAACCTATAATATGATTTCGAAAGACCATTTTTTTTCTTTAATCACTTATACACATTTACAAATAAAGAAAACAGATCAGATTTACAAAACTAAAAACGTTCAAACAGTAATGCAGATGCGTAGCGAAGGAGGGGTGGGGGTGCAAATGGAAAATTGAAAGGTTGTTCCCGAGGGGGGGGGGGGGGGGGGCGCCAAATTGAAAGTTTGTAACGGGCGCCGGGAAGGGTTGATACGCCTCTGCAATAATGTTATTTAACTTACTTTTTTATGTGTACACTTTTTCAATTGTCTAAACGTAAAATGTATGCAATGCCATGTCTTATTAAGTTGATAAAAATATATTGGTTTTTATATACACGTGCATTTATTGCAAACAATAAAACGTTCCTTCACTCCTTTGGAGGTCGTTGAACAGGAAATAGTCATTTTTAAAGGGAGACAAACGAAGATAAAGCCAAGTGAACTAATATGGCCGAGAAATTTCTGACCGGGTGACTCATCAGAAGACGTCACTGATCTCTCACGTGACTCGTACAAGGGCGTGAGATGACATTTCATTGGTTGACGAGGACACGTGGGCATCAAAGGACGTTAATTATTTTACCTCCGACTTATCTCATTAGCGAACAGTTAATTACTCTGCCAGTAGAATAGCCCCAAACTATAATAACTTTACTTACAAAATATAAATGTATGCATACGTTATTTAAAAAAAAAAATTGAAACGTAAATACTGTAATATATTTTCTTGGACAACTTAAAAATTAGTTATATACCAGCATGGATTTAAACTGCTCTAAAATTGTGTCACCCCCCCCCCCCCCTAGCCAGAATTGTTGTACTATAGTATCAGTCGAGTAAAGCATTTGTAGTTAACATGCAAACATGGAAAGGTGACTCTATCCCGTACCTTCATTTTACATATAAACAACAAGAGATTTTTGTTTATATTTTCGGACATGTCGATATATAGAACACAACCATCTCTTTTACACCAGGTAACAATCAAAACAGTTCATATCTGACGTGTTGAGGATAAATACCGCCCACACTCCCAACCCCCAACAAACATCATGTGATTTACAAATCATCTTTAATTAATTTGGCACAATCAGGATATATTCGACCACTCTACTCCACCCTCCTACATGATGACGCAATTTTTCTTTGGTGCCGCCGTGTCTGGAACCTGTGGCGTCAGCGGGTCCTCCACGGCGTCGATTGTGTGAGGGTAGTGGGCGTCCATGTCCCCGGGGGCGGGGAGGGTCTTCCGCTGGGGCTCTTGTTTGAAATCGTCGTCTGGGAACCCTGTAGTAAATTAAATTGGGGGGGGGGGGGTCTTTACCGATTATAAAAAGAAATATGGTTTGTGATTGGAAATAAATACATAAATCACCTCAGTTAAGTATTAGGAGCGGACTCGCGACGTAGCATACGCCGCTATCTAGTTGTTTTATTTTCTACTTATCGACAATTCATAATTTGTAAATTCGACACCTCCCAGCCTCCCCCACCCCGACCCCCACCCCACCCCACACCGCCCAGTAAAAGCAGCCGTTTACAGACGACAATGAAAATATCAGTCATAACGTATTATCTCCTCTTAGTTTCAAATCGTTTAAAAACTATATTATCTGCCCCCAATACCCGTCACTCTTCGAACCGGCTCTAGGATTGTAAACATTCGGGGTGAACTACAGCTCACCTGACATGTGGGGATGAGGATGGTGGCTAAGCTGCTTGGTGTCTCGTATGGTCTCCATGAAGAGAATTATATATATAGATAGATATGTTTTAAATTGTTTAATTATGACCACTAAATTTCTTAATTATGTAAGTAACACCACCACCCATAGAAACATTATAAGTAACATTTTTATATAACCCAGGTCGCTAGTTTTACACTAGCTATAACGCAAAATATAGCCTTGACTTACGTTCTTTCCAGAACCCAAACAAAAATCCGGGACCTTTTGGTGGTGGTTCCTTCTCTCTGTAGACACGTGACATTACAAAAACAATTAGCTTTTTGGTTATAATATGTGTATAGACTTAAATTAGCTTTTTGGTTAAAATATGTCAAATGACTTACATTAACGTTTTGGTTAAAAATAATATGTCTAATGACTTACATTTGCTTTTGTTTAACAATATGTGTATAGATTTAACTTAGCTTTTTGGTTAAAAATATATGTGTAGACACATCCATTTTGAAAATATTAAGAATAATAAGTCCGAATAGTTGAAATTCAAGCCTACATTTTAACCTGATTATAATTCAAAGTATCAAGTTGTAGAGACCAATAAATCTAAATGAAACCGTGTTGAAAATCGATCGCCAATAAAAACCAAATAAAATATAGCTACTACAAAATCTCGGCGTAGACCCACGGTGAAGAAGAAGACAGTTCCTAATACATTAATATCCACTTACTCGGGTTCTAGTTCAATGGGGGACCTAACTGGCTGCCTTCTTTCGACCTTGGGTGTCAGGATTCTATGGAAAAATAATCAAAACATATTTTCATCAACATTTTCTAGCAAAACATTCAAAGACTTTGTTATGTTTCTCCTTGAATTAACTTTTAAATCTTTTTTTTTACCAAAAATGATGCAAAAGGTACTTATGCAACAAGGTTTCAGATAAATTAAAAAGAAAATTGTTTAAGATTTGGATTACAAATACAAATTCTACTACTACACTATTTATCGAACTTGAAACTAACCAGCCTTTAGGAGTGTCTAGCATGAATATGTCGAGATGGAAAGTTTGTAAAATAAATTGTTTCAAATGAGTAGTTTATTGACATGTGATAAAAGTACAGTTTTAGTCGTAATATTTTATACTGTATGCCAATCAAGTTAGATTACTGCAGTCTTAATCCGAGGAACATATGTTTAATACTATTGAGAGGAACTTTGTTTACGAAAACTTGACAAAGTGGCCAGTGAAAATTGATGTGAGTTGTTTCGTTGAGATCAAATGTTCTGAGAGTTTTAACTAAGCATACGACGAAGGACTCTAAAACAAACGACCCAACATAGTACCACGTGACTGATGTAGGTACTCACCTCCTAGGCCTGGGCCTACAACATTTCTTTTCACAGTTGAAATTTTTACAAGCGTGCAGACAGAGGTGGCCGTAGCGCCACAACATACAGGCCAGTAGACCCAGCATGGCCGCACCTAGCAGGGCTGCTATGATGATCCAGGGCAGGTTCGAATCCTGGTGAAAACAGAATGACAGATTATGATGCTCGGATACAACTTCCATTTAAATTATAACTTTATCTACCCATAAATTATACAACTCTTTAACACCAAGGGTAAATTAATTGTATAGAGATAATGTTGAAAGGTGGAATGGGGTGTGTAGAGGCACTAAGTCTTTAGTTTTTAGCAATAGACGCAATTACTAGAAGTATAAAACCAGCAGCTATACTATACATACACATACAAGACTTTGGCTAAGTTTCTTTAAAACTTTTGGAAACATTAAATACCTTCGGTAGAAGGAGGACAGACGCTTTTTGCAATATATATTTTCTTTTTTTTTTCTTCCGGGTTAGAGTGTGTGTGTGTGTGAGGGGAGGTCGATGTGATCCCAAAATAAATGCCTGAAAGAAACTATGCTGGGATAACATTAAGTTAAAATCTATAAAATACGTAACGTGTATATTTGTATCTGTTCTTATGATTTACAGGAGGGGTTAATAAATATGACTGTATTTAGCTTGTCAATTGGTAATGAATCGAATCAGAACTTTATTTTAAGCCACGATTTCTTATCTCTGTTTTTCCCTCGTGGGTAAAAAAGTATATGGCTCAGCGGTAGAGCGTGGTCGAGTCGGTAAAGCTCATGGTTGCTAAACTGAAAAGTCTCTAGTTCGAACCCTCGAGCAGATGAGGCTCGTTAGCTGGGGACAGCCACTCTTCTAGGAGAGACAACTCCAAAATTAAACAACTGCTGCCTTGTAGTTGTTCTTGGTTGGACAAAAGCAATGGAAGCAAATCCATAAAGAAAAGCAGGCTGAAATCGTAGTCAATGGCCTCAATGGCGCATAACCAGTTGACACGTAACGCTTAATTGTGTTGGAGGCGTGGTCGAGTCGGCAAAAAGCTCATGGTTGATAAATTCGAACAAAGTCTCGAGTTCAAACCCACTGGCCGAAAAATCTCGATCCCCTTTAACACTAATAATTAAGAACGAAGAAGAAGAAGAAGAAGATTCACTTACCACTTTTGTCTTGGCTGTTGTGGTGGTGGTAGTTGTGGAGGTTGTCGTCGCTGGTGCGGCTGTCGTGGGCACTACCACCGGTGGTTGTGTGGTCGGACAGGGCTGTTTGTTGAAAAATGGCGATTGATTAGTATATACCATAAGTTTAGTCTAGTTTAATTAAAACTAAAAAAAAAAAATTAAAACGCTTCTAGTTGTGAGCATTATAAGAACTGATTATGTATATCATAATAGCTGCTTGAAGGCGACTGTTTTCACGACTTGAGACATGCAATGCATTTTATTTTTGAGCTGTTCGCATAATGCAGCCATTTGTAGCCATTTTAAACCATTGTTCACCTTATATTAAAATGATTGATTAGCCTTATAATGAACCATTGTTTAGCTAGTGTTTAGCTATTGTTTTACCATGTTTAGATCAATCTTAACCGAGGTTTAGCTGTTGTTAAATCATCATTTAAATAATGGTTAGTTAAAGCTTTATAAAGTGATAAGTTCATTTATTATTGACATCAAATAAATATTAAGCACATATTATTGGACACTTTTTTAAATAGTTGTAAATGTAAAAGTCATGTTTTTTGTTGTTGTTTTTTTTTTTTTAGTTTAACAGACATTTAATGTAGTAAAAAAGAAAAAAAAACACGTAAATAGTAATATTAAATACTAACAGTTTTTTCTTTATTAAAAAGTCCTCACGTCTAAATATGCGTGTAAAGGTTACTGTAATACTTTAGTAATTGCGAAGGTTTGCAAAGAATTCATTGTTAGAAATCTTAGGTTTAATGTAAAACTCATGTTTATGTGGTAACCATTATTCCATTGTAATTAATACTAATGACTTGTCGTAAACTAGATATTTTATTTAAAACAACTAACAAAAGGCTTACCGTAAACCGAACACTTATCACTGCAGGGTTGACGCTCCTTAAAGGTCCAGGCGTCTGTCCTTTATCAAAAGCGTAGGCCTCAAACGTGACCACGGTCCCTGCAGGCATTGCCTGACCCACAATGACCTCACCCCCAGTACCCACGTACACGGACCCACCCGAACCCCTGGGGATAAAACATACGTACACAATTCAATCTACTCGTGAATATTATATTTTTAAAGGGAAATAACTATGACTCTGTCAATATTTAAAATGATTACGTCCCTTGAAGTAAAATTTAAAAATTGAATCCTGTAACGAATGTTAATGGAATTTGGAAAATAAATAGACGAAGTGACTTGAGGGGGGTTAAAGAAGGTTATGGATAGTAAATAAACTAGTCTAACTAGTTTAAACTTTTCTTTTAAAATTACATAGCCTACTGAGCATGTTCATTAAAAACACATTAGTATGACGAATTTTGATTCCGATTATATTTCTAAAGTGTAAGTTTTTAAATTAAAATTGTACTGCCTTTTCACTTCAAGATTTTAAAAGGAAGTAGTTTGTTTGTACCCCATTTTCAAAAGGTCAGCTATAGTATGTGATCTTTAGATAGTGATTACAAAACTGGTCATAGAATGACTCACTGGTAGTAGATGACGTTGTTCTGTTCACGTGACGAATCTTTATCCGTGGCGGTTATTGTGATCAGTTTGGTACCTGGGAGTAAGATAGATGATAAGGTCAGCAGGTCATTGAGTATGCCGGTCAGTAAGTCATTGAGTATGCCACTCATTGAGTGTGCCGGTCAGCAGGTCATGGGTCTGCCGGTCAGCAGTTCATGATTCTGCCGGTCGGTAGGTCATTGAGTGTGTCGGTCTGTAGGTCATTAGGTCTGCTGGTCAGTAGGTCATTGAGTATGTTGGTTAGTAGGTCATTAAGTCTGCCGGTCAGCAGGTCATTGAGTCTACCGTCATCAGGTCATTGAGTATGTTGTTCAGTAGGTTATTGGGTCTGCCGGTCAGCAGGGCATAGAATCTGTCGGTCTTGTTTATTGGGTAATATGGCCCTAATCCATATATTTCGCTAAACATGAAAGGCATACAAAAGCACACTCAAAACATTACATCCCCCATTCACAAAAACTCACAAAACTGATCCAAACATATAAACACGGAGAAATCAGTTTACCCCACTCTTCTCACTAATCACATTCAGCTTAATAAAAATAAAATCTACAAAAGAAAAAACCCTTATTAACACCCTCACACTCAATACACAAATCATACGTCCTGAATTGACCTCACACAATCCTAAGCCACTGATCCTAATTCCTACACAACTAGTCCCCACTGCAACCCCTACTAACACACATACACACACACACACACACACACACATACTGACCTGCTGCCGTACACTCTGTGGCACTAGCCACATAATCGGGTTGTACAAAAACCGGCGGGTTGTCATTACAGTCTACAAATGTTGCTGATACTGTCGCTGTGGCCGTCAACCCGCCCTTGTCAGCAACCTGCATATAGTATACATATATGAATATATATATATATATATATATATATATATATATATATATATATATATATATATATATATTGATCTATTTATTGAATTAGCTTATTTATTAAAATTTGCGTCGTTGATTTAACGTGTATTTTTTTTTTCTTACAATAAGACCTTCAACTATTTTTTGTCTTTACGAATAACATTAATGTTAATAAATCGTATAATATGTACTTAACTTCTATAACCATATTTCACATCAATGATGATTACGTCATATCCTTTAAAGGATGCTTAACTGGGTAAATAAATATTGATGTAATCATGTTCTGTTTATCTCTTTCTTGACCTTGGCATGGTCAAAGATTAAGTGGTCTAGACACTTTTTACACCTGAGTTAGGTACCCATTAAAACTGAGTCGACTTGGACTCGTCTTCTTGACTTAAGCCAAGGAAAACTATCAAACCTACGGGCGTGGGGGGTGTAATATTCCAACCAATAGGGTTGTGTTACTTACCACAACTTTAAAGGTGTGAGTGGTTGGCATGGGGTTCGGGTTGTCCACGTTATAATCGAGGAGGGTTGTGAGGTCGCCGTTCGTGCTGTCGATGCTGAAGTAGCCGTTGGGGTCGGAGTGGGTTTTGTCGAAATACCACCTCTGGGTGTCCGGGGTGTCGGGGTCAATGACCTTGTAGCCTGGGCTGAATGTTCTCTGTGTAGGAGATGTAAGCGTGATATGTAATGTTGGTATGTAACAGTGATATGTAATGTTGGTATGTAACCGTGATATGTAATGCTTGTATGTAAGGATGACATGTGATGGTGTTATAATTAATGAGTTAAGTTAATAGTGGTTTGTAAAATAGAAATGATGCCATATAATAGTAATATGTAAAGGCTATATGTAATTGTTTTATAATGATAGTGATATGCACTGTTCATATTTATAGCATGAATGCAATTGTTATGTGAATTGATTATTTGCAATGATTGTATGATGCGGTTATATGTATTGGTATAAAGAATGTTCATTTTTATTTATTTTTTAAATATTAGAGTTATATATAATGATTATATGTAATCATTTTGGTTATATGTATTGGTGGTATTTAAGGGTGTTAGCCCACGGCGTTATGAACTTGTTACATACAGTTAAGCAATCTTTTTATTAGATATTAGTTATATCTTCTATGAAAAACTCTAAAGAATGTCTGTAAAAACAATTGGTAAAGAGCGTTTGCAATTATGCTATTTTAATAACATGCAGTGTTCACTTCGGATATAACATTATATGGAATAGTTACAGTTTTAAAAGATGAACAGTAACGACACAGTGTTCACATTCATAAGATGACATGACCATACACATATGACATCACTTATGACATTTAAAAATGTCATTTCAAACTGACCTGTCCCTCGCATATTTGAATACTGCTTGTTACAGGTGAGATAGTTGGAGGCTCATTGACGTCGGTTACCTGCAAGACGAATGGTGGATATTATTATTTTAATAGATAATATACCACATGATAACCGTGACAATAGAGTTTGTATGACTTTAGTATGACGAGATCATATGTATGTATGAACATATGTATGTATATGAACAATGGCTGTTAGCCATTGTTCATATACACAAGACATCGTTTAGTACACAGAGTGTATCACATGTGTATCACATAATAAGGTAAGACATCGACACAGAAGACTGGGGGTGGGGGGGGGGGTTAACCCCTAATTATGGTTACATAATATATATATATATATATATATATATATATATATATATATATATATATATATATATATATATATATATATATATATATATATATATATATATATATATATATATATGTATATATACAAATACATATTTAAACTAGAAGCCTCTGTGAGTATAAGTAGAGGTATAGTTGGAAAGGGGGGGGGGGGCGGTGGGAAAGGCAGAAAGGGTTGGAGAAAGAAATAGACATGAGATATTATTGAGGAAGTAGACGCCGATTGTTAAAAGAGTAGATCTAGTACGAGTTTATCCACGCGGCCCATTCACTTACCACTTCCACCGAACCCCTTCCGAATTGATGTGTAACCTATAGCATACTAAGGATTAGGAAAAATGTGCTATCTAATGCTTGATTTTAAACAGCATATATTTTTGATGCAGAATATTTAGCTTCTTTTATCAGTACATTGTATTACTGTATCCTTAGTACTGTCAAATGTAGCCAAAATACAGTGGCAGTACTATTAGTATAGGTACAATGACCTAACAGCTGATTGAGCTACAATGACCTGGCCGGTATGCTAGTTACAAGTGACCTTACCTGTAGCCGCAGGGAGTATTTGGGTGACGGACAGTAACCATCCGTGGCCTGGATCTGAAGGTCAGTCTGTCTCAAGGCCACGTTCTCATAGTCCAGGGCACTTGCGATATTGATGTCTCCATTAGCTTCGGATCAAAAAAGAAAGTCAGTACATGAAGGACTGATTTTGTGTAGCTGTTTCTTTGTGTGATTTTGTAGTTTGCGTGCGTTGGTGTGTTGTTGCATATTCGAGCATGTGTGAGAGTCTGTGTGAATGGGTCTGTGTGTGTGTATGTGTGGAAAGGTTCCCATAAAAATGCGCAATCAGAAAACTACGCAAGCGACAACTGCGAAAAAGAAAAATGCGCAAATACAAAAAAAACTAGATTCTAATACATTTTAATTGTTTTCATATTTCGCGGAAAACTGTTTTAGTATGTTACAATGTGCATGTAATTATTATTTCTCGATATCTACAAATGCTCTATTTAAGAAAAACAAAAAATACTCTTGCTCACTTTTTCGTTCGCAGATTTCCAGTCACCGTGGGGTATTAGGGTGTACATGTTTATGAGTATGTGTGAATGTGTGAATGGGTGTCTGTGTGTGTGTGTGTCTCTCTCTGTGTGTGTATGTGTGTGTCTCTGTGTGTGTGTGAAGGGTGCCCGCATGTATGTGTGCATGCCCCACAAAAACAAAGATTCACGAGACTTACGACAAAGGTACACGAGAATTATGACAAAGATTCACGAGACTTAATGATACACGAGACTTACGACAAAGATTCACGAGACTTAATGATACACGAGACTTAATGATTCACGAGACTTACGACAAAGATACACGAGACTTACGACAAAGATACACAAGACTTACGACAACGATACACAAGACTTACGACAAAGATTCACGAGACTTACGACAAAGATACACGAGACTTACGACAAAGATACGCGAGACTTACGACAAAGACACACGAGACTTACGACAAAGATACACGAGACTTACGACAAAGATACACGAGACTTACGACAAAGATACACAAGACTTACGACAAAGATTCACGAGACTTAATGGTACACGAGACTTACGACAAAGATACACAAGACTTACGACAAAGACACACGAGACTTACGACAAAGATACACGAGACTTACGACAAAGATACACGAGACTTACGGCAAAGATACACGAGACTTACGACAAAGATACACGAGACTTACGACAAAGATTCACGAGACTTAATGATACACGAGACTTACGACAAAGATACACGAGACGTACGACAAAGATACACAAGACTTACGACAAAGATTCACGAGACTTAATGATACACGAGACTTAATGATTCACGAGACTTACGACAAAGATACACGAGACTTACGACAAAGATACACAAGACTTACGACAACGATACACAAGACTTACGACAAAGATTCACGAGACTTACGACAAAGATACACGAGACTTACGACAAAGATACGCGAGACTTACGACAAAGACACACGAGACTTACGACAAAGATACACGAGACTTACGACAAAGATACACGAGACTTACGACAAAGATACACAAGACTTACGACAAAGATTCACGAGACTTAATGGTACACGAGACTTACGACAAAGATACACAAGACTTACGACAAAGACACACGAGACTTACGACAAAGATACACGAGACTTACGACAAAGATACACGAGACTTACGGCAAAGATACACGAGACTTACGACAAAGATACACGAGACTTACGACAAAGATTCACGAGACTTAATGATACACGAGACTTACGACAAAGATACACGAGACGTACGACAAAGATACACAAGACTTACGACAAAGATTCACGAGACTTACGACAAAGATACACGAGACTTACGACAAAGATACACGAGACTTACGACAAAGATACACGAGACTTACGACAAAGACACACGAGACCTACGACAAAGATACACGAGACTTAATGATTCACGAGAGTTACGACAAAGATACACGAGACGTACGGCAAAGATACACAAGAATTACGACAAAGATACACAAGACTTACGACAAAGATTCACGAGACTTAATGGTACACGAGACCTACGACAAAGATACACGAGACTGACGACAAAGATACACAAGACTTACGACAAAGATTCACGAGACTTACGACAAAGATTCACGAGACTTAAGACAAAGATTCACGAGACTTAATGATACACGAGACTTAAGACAAAGATACACGAGACTTAATGATACACGAGACTTAATGATACACGAGACTTACGACAAAGATACACGAGACTGACGACAAAGATACACAAGACTTACGACAAAGATTCACGAGACTTACGACAAAGATACACGAGACTGACGACAAAGATACACAAGACTTACGACAAAGATTCACGAGACTTAAGACAAAGATTCACGAGACTTAATGATACACGAGACTTACAACAAAGATACACAAGACTTACGACAATGATACACGAGACTTAATGATACACGAGACTTACGACACAGATACACGAGACTTAATGATTCACGAGACTTGCAACAAAGATACACAAGACTTACGACAACGATACACAAGACTTACGACAAAGATTCACGAGACTTACGACAAAGATACACGAGACTTACGACAAAGATACGCGAGACTTACGACAAAGACACACGAGACTTACGACAAAGATACACGAGACTTACGACAAAGATACACGAGACTTACGACAAAGATACACAAGACTTACGACAAAGATTCACGAGACTTAATGGTACACGAGACTTACGACAAAGATACACAAGACTTACGACAAAGACACACGAGACTTACGACAAAGATACACGAGACTTACGACAAAGATACACGAGACTTACGGCAAAGATACACGAGACTTACGACAAAGATACACGAGACTTACGACAAAGATTCACGAGACTTAATGATACACGAGACTTACGACAAAGATACACGAGACGTACGACAAAGATACACAAGACTTACGACAAAGATTCACGAGACTTAATGATACACGAGACTTAATGATTCACGAGACTTACGACAAAGATACACGAGACTTACGACAAAGATACACAAGACTTACGACAACGATACACAAGACTTACGACAAAGATTCACGAGACTTACGACAAAGATACACGAGACTTACGACAAAGATACGCGAGACTTACGACAAAGACACACGAGACTTACGACAAAGATACACGAGACTTACGACAAAGATACACGAGACTTACGACAAAGATACACACGACTTACGACAAAGATTCACGAGACTTAATGGTACACGAGACTTACGACAAAGATACACAAGACTTACGACAAAGACACACGAGACTTACGACAAAGATACACGAGACTTACGACAAAGATACACGAGACTTACGGCAAAGATACACGAGACTTACGACAAAGATACACGAGACTTACGACAAAGATTCACGAGACTTAATGATACACGAGACTTACGACAAAGATACACGAGACGTACGACAAAGATACACAAGACTTACGACAAAGATTCACGAGACTTACGACAAAGATACACGAGACTTACGACAAAGATACACGAGACTTACGACAAAGATACACGAGACTTACGACAAAGACACACGAGACCTACGACAAAGATACACGAGACTTAATGATTCACGAGAGTTACGACAAAGATACACGAGACGTACGGCAAAGATACACAAGAATTACGACAAAGATACACAAGACTTACGACAAAGATTCACGAGACTTAATGGTACACGAGACCTACGACAAAGATACACGAGACTGACGACAAAGATACACAAGACTTACGACAAAGATTCACGAGACTTACGACAAAGATTCACGAGACTTAAGACAAAGATTCACGAGACTTAATGATACACGAGACTTAAGACAAAGATACACGAGACTTAATGATACACGAGACTTAATGATACACGAGACTTACGACAAAGATACACGAGACTGACGACAAAGATACACAAGACTTACGACAAAGATTCACGAGACTTACGACAAAGATACACGAGACTGACGACAAAGATACACAAGACTTACGACAAAGATTCACGAGACTTAAGACAAAGATTCACGAGACTTAATGATACACGAGACTTACAACAAAGATACACAAGACTTACGACAATGATACACGAGACTTAATGATACACGAGACTTACGACACAGATACACGAGACTTAATGATTCACGAGACTTGCAACAAAGATACACAAGACTTACGACAATGATACACGAGACTTAATGATTCACGAGACTCACGACAAAAGATACACGAGACTTAATGATTCACGAGACTTACGACAAAGATACACGAGACTTAATGATAAACGAGACTTACGACAAAGATACACAAGACTTACGACAAAGATACACGAGACTAAATGATACACGAGACTTAATGATACACGAGACTAACGACAAAGATACACGAGACTTAAGACAAAGATTCACGAGACTTACGACAAAGATACACGAGACTAAATGATACACGAGACTTAATGATACACGAGACTTACGACAAAGATACACGAGACTTAATGATACACGAGACTTACGACAAAGATACATTAGACTTACGACAAAGATACACGAGACTTACGACAAAGATACACAAGACTTACGACAAAGATTCACGAGATTTACGACAAAGATACACGAGACTTACGACAAAGATACACAAGACTTACGACAAAGATTCACGAGACTTACGACAAAGATACACGAGACTTACGACAAAGATACACGAGACTTAAGACAAAGATACACAAGACTTACGACAAAGATACACGAGACTTACGACAAAGATACACGAGACTTACGACAAAGACACACGAGACTTACGACAAAGATACACGAGACTTAATGATTCACGAGACGTACGACAAAGATACACGAGACTTACGGCAAAGATACACAAGACTTACGACAAAGATACACAAGACTTACGACAAAGATACACGAGACTGACGACAAAGATACACAAGACTTACGACAAAGATTCACGAGACTTACGACAAAGATACAAGAGACTTACGACAAAGATACACAAGACTTACGACAAAGATTCACGAGACTTAAGACAAAGATTCACGAGACTTAATGATACACGA